AGAAGAGAAGAGAAGAGAAGAGAAGAGAAGAGAAGAGAAGAGAAGAGGACAGCATTATCCAGGAATTATAAAATATTAATATTCATTAGGAAACCAGGCCCTCCGAAGTTAATCTTCAAAGGATAATTTTCAACAAGGATGTCTGCACTCGTGTTTGTGTAAGAATGTAAGAGAACTCATCTCCAATCCACAAACACAAACATTTAGGAAGCTCACTCTTTTTAGCATATTTACCGTACATGAAACATTCATCTTCATGACAATGAAACTTATTGAATATACTATGGAAGCTTTTGTTTGCTCTTGTATCCAATGTTGAAAGTCATTCCAAGATTTCAAGCTGTACTCCATTTGTATCTTCAAACCAAGAAAGAACCTACTGTTATTTGGACCAATATTTGGTTCCCTACTCCATCTAGACCCTTGCACCCTTTTTTCGACTACGCAAGCAGCTGCCCTGTATGTTTGATGGCTTTAGGATCAGTTATTTATGAAGTAGAATGGATAGTACAAGTTGCTCCTTATAAAAAAAGATGGTTTGTATTTACGTATGCCATCTGTTTCTCTGAGATGTATTTATATATAATATACAAACTAAAGACAAGCCTTTTCAACAAAGGTTTTGTACAGTTCATATGGCCTTCTACTGAGATATTGGCCAATAATCCAAACAAAAAGTTCATCTTTGATAGTATTACATGTAAAATACCCCTGGACCAATAGCTAGCAGGAAAAAGGGTAGGGAAAATAAAGCTGGAAAACTAAGCATTGAAATTGCTTTTCACTAGAAGGCAGCAGATTGGGAAAGGGAGTTCTACAGACCCTCAAGTATTACAGAATTTTAGACAAGCAAACCAACCTCGGAGGATTCCTTTAGCAACAATGGGCAGTGAAGTCAGGCCTCTGAGCCATTTTAAATCATCCCAGTTGATTGATGGATCTATTGCCTCTGCGACATAAACAGACAGGCCACTGTTTTCACCATAACCCTTCTCAGATGAAAATGCCAGATCATTGGTTTCAAAATTTTTCATTCTGAAATTGGAAAAAGAAGGGGGGGGTTGTTAAGAAAAGTTGACTGAAAAAATATCAACATTCACTATTGCCTTAAAAGCTTGCATGTGTGTGTGTACATGTGTGTATAAATAATGGCTGGGTAACCTTTTGGGTTAACGTTTACTGAATATCATCGTGCATAATAATATACCTTATGTCACCAGTGCATTCTTCTTTTCTTCCAAAAAAGAATTTTTGTTTTCTTGGTACAATATACCTATAGTATATTCTGTTCACTTATAGAAACAGGTATTCAAGATATCTTACCTGTGACAACTAAATAGCTTTAAATATAATTTGAAAATTCCATGGAAGCCAATAAAGCTATTAGTAACAATTATCCATACATAGAAACAAAATAGACACGTTTATGTCCTAAAGGGTACTATATAGCTACATACCAGACATTTGGAATGGAAAATTGATTCACACTAGAAGGACTTATGACTCAGACCCTCCCAGTGGCTTCCTGAAACTGTTTGGCTAACTACTCTTGACCACAAGATGCTGGACAAAATAAACTCTTAGTAGGTCTGATTCATCACAGTTTGTATTATATTGTGGTCCAGGTGAAGTCTATCACTGAGTGTATCCTTTGAATTGTGGCATGTATGACACATCCATTCAGCTTGTGCTAAGCAAAAATATCACCAACAAATGTTGAGAAGAATGGTCATTGTATTGTTTTAATGTACAGCATCTGTAAGAAAGAAAGAAAAAGAGGAAACAGTCCACTTCCCATCTTCCCACAGTGTCCCAAATCCAACAGGAAGGGAAGGGAAGGAGAAAAATTAATTAAAGCTAACATCTTGCTTGGAGCTTCAAAGCAGCTGCTGGCCATCTTAGCATCCTGTTTTGTACATGTGTGTTCAGAATATTAGTACTCAAAGCAGCTTTGCTAGACCCTTCAAAACCCAGCTGCCTCCCAATGATTCATAAATCTCTAGTCTTAATGGCAGGATGGGAACAGTGATCTTTTCAACAAGATGGAACAACTGTGCCCAGCACCCTGAACCAAGATGGACAAGGTTGAGGAAACTCAGAATTGTAATTCAAGCAGTATCTGAAAGGACACCATTCCCTGTTTCCCCCATTAACTGCTAGAAGCAGTGAGTAGAAACAACATATCCAATCAATATTCAACTTTCCCAACACTGGCAGCAAATTGAATGATATAAAACCATCTGAAGAGAGATAAACTCAATAATTAATTTCATTCTTTTAGTCTAGGGGAAAATAATCCTTCAAAGTGCCATGACTAAAATGCATATATTGGGAAGAACAAGAGATTTTCCATTTCAACTGCAACATCAAAATGTGTTTTTCAGCACATTTTTTTTGTTAACTAAGGATGGCTTTTAGAGTTTCAGTAAAACTGTTCTTGTAAATGTATGGACATGGTTTGATGTAAAATTAACACCCTGCATGAAATATTTTTCTTTTCCATATTTGCTATACTATATTTGCGATAAATATTTACTATAAATATTTTTCTTTTCCATATTTTCTTTTCCAGAAAAAGGGAGTTTCACTTTGGGAAACAATTGCAGCCATGTTTAATAGCATATTGTTACAGTACAATAGCATGTAGGATGGAGAAATTGAACCTTAGAGAAAGAGATGGAAAGTTGATACTTCTGTCCCTAAGTACCTGAGATGTGGAGACAGACGAAACTTGTTGCGTACATCATCTAAGCGTTTTCCAAGATACGGGGTGTCCACAGTCACAAAAATGCCTTTATAGCCAGCTTTTTCGGCCCGATGCACTAAAGATCTTGTGACCTCACGGTCCTTATAAATATAGAGCTGCAGCCAGAGAATTGTCTTTGGAGCTGCGTGAGCAACTTCTTCTATAGATGTTGTGGACCAAGAACTCAACATCATCCCTGTTCCTGCTGACCTACAGGCTGAAGAGCAGGAATGTTAGTCACAGGAGGACCATAGTACAGAAATTAAAATTCCTTTTTTTCCATTTTAAAAAAAATTATGCAACATTTTAATTGCCTTATCCCTTTCAAACAAAGACAAAAAAATATCTGTATTGGCAGCATGGAATTCAGTTTGTTTTATGGCACGATGAATGCCAGATAATTTCACGGTTGGGTGGTTGCCTGTTTGTTATCTCTGACTTGATTACCGCATTTATCATTTCCCTGTAAATAGATTGGATTAGCTGCTCCTACTAACAGACAGTTTCCATGGAGGAATAAAGGAAGCCTGTTTTCTTTTTTTTTAATTGTAATAATAGACATTTTGTGAAAAAGGCTTTTAAAAAATATTTATGCTCTTTCATTTCAAACCAACTTTTTGTGCAGCATCAACTACCAAGGGACTTATAAACTTCATTCCTCACTTTCTTGATAGAATGAGTATATTGTATAACATCCAGGCCAGCTTGTCTGGATGTTAAGCTATACTACAATTACGCTAGCCTGGCATTTCCCTGGTCTCCCAATACTTCTGGGAGATGTATAGGATCTCTTGCCTGTTGCTGAGAACATTTCTCAGTTCCCATCAATCCTAAGTAGAGATGCTAAGAAGAAAGCAAAGCAGTTGGTGTGCCTTTCTCCCTAGTGATTGCTTGCAGATCATGGTTTCACAGCCCAAGCCAGCAAGCCATTTGCCACTGGTTTTCAAAGGAGTCTTGTCAGCTTCATTGTCAGCCAATCCAAGTGACTAACTGGCCAGGGGAAAAGTGTACTGACTCCCCATGCTTCCTAACAGCAGAAAAACCAAATTTTTAATGGTGGGATTATTAGCCATTTAGCAGGAAAAGAGAAAGCCACAGCAATTCGAAGGGCCCTACTTTTTGTGACCATAATTTCTTCTGGATGCCCACTAATTTTAGAAATACTTTTTAAAGATTTAGCTGTCTGTTGAATATTAAAGCATATGAATCATAAACTCCTGTCCTACTAACCATACAAGCAAAAGATGAAAACAGAAGTTTAGGACTTGTACATTCCTAATAGCAAGTTAATGAACAAATCTGCTTTGGGATAGTGTGTCTGGTATATTTGAACCATTCATATCATTGGATCTATATGGCAAGTAATTCCAAAACAATACCAATGTGCCTTTAAGCTTTAAAAAAGAGAGAAGGTAGAAGCCTCTCCATATTACATATCTATTGAAATTCAACCTGAATGTCCACTTGATCTCATGCATCTAACTGTGTGTGTATAAGTGTGTGTGTGTGTATGAGAGGGAGGGGGAGGGAGGGAAGGAGGGATGGGGAGAGAGAGAGAGAGAGAGAGAGAGAGAGAGGTGTATAAACAATCTATGTCAAAAAAAAGATTTGAATTTGAAAAGGGACAATTAAAATTTTTTAGTTCTAGCTCTTTTATCACGAACACTCAATTATTCTTCTGAAATACTCTTTTTGTATATACTACTTCCTATTAAGAGCTAATTGATTAATATTTATCAATCTATCCCAAGAAATTGTCTGCAATATTAACAACCTTGGAGATAAGGAGTATAGTATTTGCTATTAGAAGTGTTAGTGCTCCATCCAGTGGACATAGACTTAAATGTCATCAACTGTTTCTTGGCTAACTTAGATTTAGATTTTTGTTTTAATCTTGTCTTTATTATTTTTATAAATAACTCTGGACTAATACTCACACTTTCCCCCACAACATTTGTATAAGGTGGGTTGGGTTAAGAGAGAGGGACTGGCCCAAAGTCACCCAGCCAGCATTCACGTCTGAGGTGGGACTAGAACTCAGTTTCCTGGTTTCTCGCTTCAGCCTTAATTCCACAAGGCAGAAACTATAGCTCTGAAATCTTTGTAGTGTACTCTAAAAAAAGTATGGAAGGAAAGCCTTCGTGCATGTTGCTGATGCAGTGAAAGGAGTTGCTTCTACGTGCGTGTTGTTATATGATTGTACGCGGAATATTATTCATTACCCATCAGCATTCTTGCATTTACTATAAGAATCAAGTATTGATCTGCAGTGTTGATGGTCCCTCAGTTAGAACTATTCCTCTCCTTCCCCAAAGCCGGGGAGACATTCCCACTTGAGATACAGCAGTCTCCAGCTTCGTGGCCAGGGGCAGATGGCATATTTTATTTTGCATGAAGTGGATTCAATTCACAAACCTCTAACCTTCTTTACCTTTCCTTAAAGCTTTGTTGCTTTTCATAATGGCGCTATGGTTTTAGGTGGTTTCCTGTCACTTGCTGGGCCAGAACATGGACCAGAGAGAAGTTACACAATAGATTTGCCCACATGGACTAAGAATTATGAGGTTTCTAACTGAAAAAAATCCAGAGGGCATCAAGTTAGAGAAAGACAATGTAGAGCTGGGGTGTCAAACTCTATTTCATTAAGGGCTGCATGAGGATTGTGTTTGGTGGGGAGGCATGGCCGGGGTGGGCATGACCAGGATAAGCAAGGCCAGTTCGACATCACTCGTGTTAGAGACACCTGTGGTGGCCAACTGCTAAGGCAGGACTTCCCTCAGACCCACCCTCACCCTCATAATTTACAATAAACTCCTTCCTTTCTTCCTTTCTTCCTTCCTTCCTTTTCTTCTTTTTCCTTCCCTCTTCATTCTCCTTTCCTCTTCCTTCCCTTCTTTCCTTATTTCTCCTTCCTTGCCCTCTTCCCATCTTTCCTTCTTTTTCTTTCCTCTTTCCCTTTCTCCTTTCCTGTCCCTTCTTGCATGCTCGAATGCAAAAGGGGAAACATTTCTCCTTTTGTTTTGTTTTCAGTTTGTTTTGCTAGCCCACTGCCAGCGAAAAAGGAGCTCCACCCTTTATTTAGAGCCCCTCTTCTTCTGTGTCTCAGAAGGATAGCAACTATTAGCAAGAAGCAGATACCACGAAGGACATGTGAACAGAGAAACTACTAAGGTAAGGTTTCCCAACATTGGCAACTTTAAGACACGTGGATCTCAATTTTCAAAGTTCTCCAGCCAGCATGAAGCACTTAGGTCAGGGGTGTCAAACTCAAGGCCCGTGGGCCTGATCTGGCCTGCAATGAGGTTGGATCTGGTCCATGGGGCTGTCCTGGTCTCCCCAGTGCGAAGAAGAAAGATCAGGCCGGCGTGGCTTCGGCCCAGTCTTCCTAATGTGAAGAGCAAAATATCAGCCCACCATGGTTTCAGTCCGGTCTACCCAGTGCAAAGAGGAAACATACCAGCAGTTTGGGCAGTGGCGTCAAGTTGGCCATGCCCACCCAGTTGCCCCTCCCATGCTCCCCCCTCTTGAGGTCAACTACAGCCCTGATGGGGCCCTCAATGAAATTGAGTTTGACCTCCCTGACTTAGGGGAAGTACTTGGGTGGGGGAGGACATTTTTCAGTATCCTATGGGTATGCAGATGAGCTGTTCTTTGTAAAAATGCAGGGGAAGCTTTAATTTCACTTGTGCAAATTAGCATACCTTTTTCTAATTAATTTTTTTTACCTAAAGGTGGTTACCATCTTGCTTCAAAGTGGTCCAGTTTGTTTTGACTTGTTTGGCACCCGTTCTTCTAAAATTGATTACTCTTCTCTGAGGTACATGCTCGGTAAATGAACTAGAATGTACATGTAGCTTGAAGAGTATGGAAAATAGCTGACCCTCATTAATTCTTTTATTGTGTGAAAGAGGCTGAAACCTCTATCTTTCTCTTCAAAAGGGAATGTTTTCCATTCTCCAATAGCTAATCAAAACAACTAGATTGCATCAAATCCCACTTCTTGTATTCTTAATTTAACATTACCACTGGCTGAATTGTGTGTGTTTGCTCCTACTGTGTGTGAGGGGTTTTTTAAAAGAAAAAAAATCCAAAGAGCCTTGTATTTTATCACAGGAACAATTTTGGAGCAAAGTGTTAAACTCTGATAACTGTACCTTCAATGATTCACTAGAGGGAGCTAGCTTATTAGACGTTTGACATTTTTCTCATGTTATCAGAAAAGTATAAAAGGAGATGGAAATTTTGAAATAGATTGCTGTGATGAATGCTATAGAAGAAATGAAAGGTGCAAATATTACTATATTATCTATCTATCTATCTATCTATCTATCATTTATCTATCTATCTATCTATCTATCTTTCTTTCTTTCTATCTATCTATCCATCCATCCATCCATCCATCTAAACTATCTAAATATATATGCTTCCCATCTCCTCAGCTTACAAAGATTAAAAAGATATAGAAACAATTAAACTTTAAAACTATATTTTTAAAAAAAACATCATCAAGGAGAGGAATGGCAAGAGGATGACATCTTCATTCACCATCTACAGTGGTGAACCCGTCCCCTCCCCAGACCCCACATTTTCCTCTCCCCATATATAAAAATCAGTCAATACTGTGTGAAGTTTTGCCAGACCCCAGAGTCTAACTGCGGTACCTAAGGCCCCTTTCTTTCTTTGCCAACTTTGTGTGTTTTTTAAAGACACATAAAGTTTTAAAACCCACACCCATTCTTCACAACTAGCCAATTTTTGTAGTTCAACCGTGAAGTTCATAGGCCATTTTATGGATCAAATAAAATGTACATTGAATATAAATAGTTTTAGCTTAAAATATTTTAATTGCTATAGTCCTTCACTGGAAAGCTGAATTCAATTATTTTATTAGCCCTTTTAAAGAACCCCTTTATTCTTATTCTTTCAGGAAGAATAGACAAATCAAATAAACCTTTATTATGGCCTTTGGGCCTGAAAAGCAAGAATATGCAAAGCTAAGCTATTCAGATACAGTGTGTGTGTGTGTGTGTGTGTGTGTGTGTGTGTGTGTGAATGAGAGAGAAAGAGAGAGAGAGAGAGAGAGAGAGAGAATGTGTGTGTGTCTCTGTGTGTCTAATACATATATATTAGACAGAAGTCTATGCTAGCCTGTATTTCTTTTGTTTGTTCAGTTTTGAAGGAACCAAAAAAACTGGTTTGGAAATCAACGACTATGAACTGATGAGGAGGAAAAAAATCTGTCCCCATACTTTTGTTGGTGGCATTTAGTAACTTGATTTCCAGATATGTAAAAGACTTACTTTGCCTTCCACTTATCCTCCAAGGTTTATATTTTTAGACCAACCAAATGTTATCCTCACTACCAGCCTAACAAGTTAAGTTACGTATAAATTGTTCCCATAATCTGTAAAGTATCCTATGTCAGACTCATTACACAAAAGACCTAGCTCTCTGGAGAAAGTTCTAATCAGTGGGGGGATTCCAAAAATTTTTACTACTGGTTCTGTGAGCGTGGCTTGGTGGGCATGGCAGAGGAAGGATATTACAAAATCTATTCCCTCCTCACCCCATTAACCTGCTTTCCAGCTCCGTTCTCCTGTGCGGGGCAACAAAAGAAGACCCAGCCGATCAGCTGGGACTTGGGAAGCGGAGAATAGATGGGGGCAGGGCCAGTCAGAGGTGGTATTTGCTGGTTCTCCGAACTACTCAAAATTTCTGCTACTGGTTCTCCAGAACTGGTCAGAACCTGCTGAATACCACATCTGGTTCTAATGCTGGGGGAAGTGGAAGGAAAGAGAAGAAGAGGGTGGCCAACACCAAGGTGGGGAGGTTCAGCTACAGTGGCAATGTGATTGCCACTGAAAGAGCTTAAGGACCAAATTAGGGACTGGTTATCATGGAGAAAATCTGTCCAGAGTTGAGCATGACTCAATTGCACATAATCCATCAATCAAATGCTCTAAGAATTTATACTGAGGATATGCTGGTCAGCTTGAATGATGCAGTTTGCAACTACAGACAGCTCTATAGATAAAACAGAGATTTTGTTGAGAAATAAAACTGCTATATTTAGGACTGGAATTTGATTTATTTCAAAATATGGGAAGCCAGTTCTGTTGTGTTTGTGGTCTCTCTTGCTTGAAGCCCTTAATTTGTGGGCTTGGTCATCACTGGTGACATGTGAGATTCTAGGCATCAAGACTTGAATATTGTTATTTTTCCCACGGTCCATGTTAGGTCCTCATTATATTGTAGCTTACACCTCTGTCTTCCTCTCATAATCTTGACATGGATTGCCCAATTATATGTCATTATTCCTTTAAGTGCAGCAAATGGGGTGTTTTCAGTAGCATATTCTATTAGTAATCCAGCCAAACATTTTACTTGGAAGAAACAGCTATTAACTGGAGCAATAAACAGCTACAGACCCTTATATCAACTATGCTGTACAATATATTAGGGTTAAGATTTCATTTAATAGCAAATGTCCTCTTTTAGAGATTTAACATGAATTTGATCCCTTGGCTCAAATAATACCATTTTTTTCAGTAAGAGAAAAGTAGAATGCTTTACAAAAAAAAAAACATGGGTTTTTGTCAAAATAATAATGTGACAAAACCCAACCGATAGCACAAACTATTGTCTGTCTGAACTTCAGTCGATCAACAAACAAAGCTTTTCAAAATTAAGCTTTTTAAAATTAATTATTGGAGTAATTTTGCAAACAAAGAAAAAGGTTGAGTAACTCTGAAGGGCTGGAACAGTACTTGTTAGCTGAATCACATATAACAGCAGATATGAACTAATAAATACAATAAACTAAATTATCATTCATCATTGATTTAGCTGAAAACAGTGTCACATTAATATACAACTTTGGCAAAATGCACTGGGATATACATGACACCATTTATCAACTAAATTCTAAGGGAACGGACACTATTATGAGAGACATCTTGGAAAGTGCTTTGATTAATGTTTTACACTGAGCTTGATTTTAAAATGGCAGTCCATCAATTTAAAAACAAATTAATTGCAATAGAAGTATCTCTTAGCCCTAAATCATAGGTAACAAAACCAAGGTACCATGTTCTTTTTTAAAACTTTTTTACACCCTAAATTATCTCCATCTTGCCTTGCATGAAACAGAATGCATCGCTCAACCCAAAAAACCCAAAGGAATACCTTTTTTTTCCTCTAAAAAAGTCAATAACACAGTTATTGTTCAGTTCAGAGTGGAGCATAGTCTATGTCTTGTAATACAAACAAAAGAACTCACCATTTTCCTTTTACACATGGTGGCCCATGCAAGCGAGTGCTTTGCTCAATTAGTGCTAACAATTGCATTATAACCAAATTGTGGTGGGTTGTTTTTTTTTTTTGTCTAGTGCATTCTCCATTTCACACTTTCAAGCTCATATCCAGCCGATGCAGGAACAACCGGATCACTTCCGGGCATACAGATAGTCCTTGCCCAACAATCTCAATTGTGACTGGTGATTCCATTGCTAAGCAATGTAGTCATTAAGCAAGACATCACATGATTTGCAATTTTACTGCCGGCTTCTCCATTGGCTCTGTTTGTCAGAACCAGCTATGAAGTGTGCAAATGATGATCACATGACTGTGATATAAACACCCGCTAGTTGTGAGGTGGCCAAATTTTGATGATGATGACTAAAGGGACACTGCAACAATCATAAGTGCAACAACTGTTCATAAAGCTACTTTTTCAGTGCCATCATAATTTCGAATGTTAAACAGATTTCTTATTTTAAAGTGAACCTTTAGCTCCAACCTGTGTAGCCAAAGTAAATTATTTTTAAAAAATATATATGCCCATGCAATAGGTCAGTTAATATTTGGTAGAGGAAGTGAAGAAACAGCAGGACAAAGGTGTGTTCAAAACATGCAAATATGTCTGAAAACATGGTCAAGTTTTGTGATACATGACATCTTGCAAACCATTTAACAGGTTTTGACCTAGGAAAAATTAGACTTCATGAATGCTTCACCAGGAGATGAAACTCTCACTAGGAGAACGAAGAAAATACATTACCATGGTTTATTGAAGCAATGAAGCTTTTAGAGTGTATAAACAGATTGAACAACAAATTTCTCAGATTTAGTGGCTGTGTGGTGGAAAGCCATAGAATAAAGTAGTCAAGTTCCCACTCTAGTGTAATGACGGCATACATTGATAAAATGTCCCTGGAGAATCAGATATGGAACACTTTTTATTTTCTTCAAACAACACACATTTATCCTAAAGTGAATGCTATTGTGGATAACAATTTTCAGCTGGTGTTTTCAGGACCTTACTCAGTCTTCTTGGACTACATGTAGTGTCTTATTTCCAGAAAAGTATCCCTATTGCAGTGTGTCAACAGAGCTTTAATTTTGCCTCAGCTCTTGTTTAGCAGATTAATACTGGTTCTAAACTTAAAAAAGAATGCCATGCTAGATTGTAAAAGCATTTCCTGATTAGTCAATTCTAAATATTGCATCCCTATAACTTTATTTGCCATGTTGCGTAATATTTTGTGTGGAAGTTAAAACACAGGATATAGTATTAACTTCTTGTTCCCTAAGCAAAATATAATTAAATAGGCAAAACAGACTGGAGACAATAAGATTTCTTTAATTTGAACGAAGATATTTCTGCATTCTTCCCTTAACAGACTGTCTCCCCTGCTGAATTTCTTTACAAGGAATTTCCATACCCGGAACATACCTCTAGCAGTTGCAATTTCCCCATCTGCATGAGCCATGCACTGCATGGCAGTGGCTGCAATGCATATTGGCATACTGATTTTCTCTCCCAAGACACAAGTTGACAGGTCCAGGGTTGACACATTTTTCAACATCCGAGGGTATAGTCTTAATCTGCATGGATGGGAAAAGTCTGATAGTAAGTAATTCACAGCAAGGATTTATTTAGAAAACAAGATGTGTGATGCAAACACAATAAATTGCTGTCTCCAATATTGACTGAAAGCAAGTTTGGTTTTAAAAAGACTCATCATATGCTGAAATCTGGAAATGACCAAAGCACCGAACTCAGCTTTTGTTAATTACAGATGGCCGGGAATGAAGAGCAAGTAAATAAAAAGCAATACGATAAGTTGCCAAATGTTAAAGAGTTTGAGCTAGAATTTCAATACCCAGGTTCTAGTACCAGGATGTACTGCCTGTGAAAGCGTAGTTATCCAATTGTAGTCTTCATGTCAGAAGTTACATAATACATTACTGGAAAGTAATTGCATAATATTGGATTGAAATGAAATCAAGTCTAGTTTTTCTTCTTTTTGAAGCATGATTTTTCAGGGACTTTCAGGAGAAGCATGATGAACTGAACAATTCTCTGTAAAAGCGGAAAGCACAGCAAAAACCAAATAACTGATAAGTAAACTGGTTCTTTGGAACCTCCCTAGACAAGGAGAGGTGGGGGAGATTGCCTGCATGCCCTCTGAATGGCTGCTCCCTGCGAAGAGACCACGGGCGGGATAGGGCCCTCCATGGGTTTGAGCACTAGGAAAGGATTAAGCATTTTTCTCACAACCACAGCAGATCCCTTTAAAGGACACAATGGGATGAAGAGATATCTGTTTGTAACTTTACAGGGAGTGAAGCATTACTACATTTGTTGTAATGAAGGTTGAAATCACTTTTTTACCTATTTCTTTTCTTTTGTCTCCTTTTCTTTCTTTTAAGTTTAGGTTGCATTAGTTTTTACTGTTGTAATCAAAACCCTTAATACAATTTATAATATAAATTTTATTGATAATATACAAATTACAAAGAAGCAGAAAAGGAAGAGAAGGAAACATGCCTCTCCGGGATACAGCCCATAAATCAATTACAGTCAAAAAGTCCAAAGAGCCTCCATTTTATGTGACCTTGCATTCCTATGCAACTGCCGAGATCAAAATTTAATTCCCACAAGCTTCCAATTGACACCCCCACCCAATCAGAACACAGCCAAGCCCCCACCCAATCAAGTCCCACCCCCACTGGCAGTTAAAAGGAGGAAGCAGCTGCAATCTCACATTACTCTGAGAAGCACAGAGCCGGAGACAGAAGCCTGAAGATGATGAATGAGACTTCATCGAAACGTTGCCTAGATACTTCGAATCTTACGCGGGAGAAAACCCGAACAACCAAAGATCCACATATAAATACCCGCGAGAACCTCAGAAAA